ACCCCGGAGCGCATGAGTCATCCAGCCCTGCGGACTGGAGGTCCCAAACCCGCACCTTCTAAAGCAAACAAAAACCCGCCTTCCGAACCGCGCCTTAAAGCCAGAACTTCCTGCGGAATTCACTATTTCAGCTTCCTTATTCTACAGGCAGGGACACTGAGGCACGGGAAGGGAGGGGAGATCAGGAGGGCCAGCTAGCTCAGTTGGTCAGAGCACCGTCCTGATTCACCAAGGTTGCAGGTTTGATTCTAGGTCAAGGGACACACACGAATCAACCCATGAATGCATCAATAAGTGGAACAACAAATCTCTCTCTTTCCTCTCTCTCTCACAAAATCAATCAATATATATTTTTTAAGAAAACACATTAAGAGCTGAGTCGGGGAGAAATGAAATAAAAGAATAATAATGTTAAGTAGAGCACACAAGAAAAGCTCTTGCAAAGGCTGATAATGGCAAGGGTGGGTATGGAAGTGATACAAGTAGGAGATGCTTATGTAGCACCGGGCTCTGTTCTAGGGTCTCCACATGCACTAACTCCTTAGTCCACAGAGCAAACCCGGGAGTAGTTATCATCGCCCCCATTCTACAGAAGAGAAAAGCGAGGCCAAGAGGTAAACTGAGTCAGGTGAGGTGGGGCGCTCCACCTGGTGGCCTGAGGGAAGGAGGGGGCGTGAGACGTCCCATTGGGAGCAGTGATGGCGAACCTTTTGAGCTCGGCGTGCCAGCATTTTGAAAAACCCTAACTTCACTCCGGTGCCGTGTCACATAGAGAAATGTTTTGATATTTGCAACCATAGTCAAACAAAGACTTGTATTTTTGAGGTTTATTTTATATATTTAAATGCCATTGAACAAAGAAAAATCAACCAAAAAACTGAGTTCACGTGTCACCTCTGACACGCGTGTCATTGGTTCGCCGTCACTGAGTTAGACCCTGTTGCCACAGTCAATGGGGGGACTGGCCCACACCCATGAGGGGACTGGGCCGTGCCATCTAGCCGGCGTGGTACCTTGTTCTGGGACAGTGTGAGGTGTCTGGCATCCCTTTCACTAACAATCTAGGATAGAGGTTCTCAACCTGTGGCTCGCGACCCCTTTGGGGGTCCAAGGACCCTTTCACAGGGGTCGCCTAAGACCATCGGAAAACACATATATAATTCCATATTGTTTTTGTGATGAATCACTATGCTTTCATTATGTTCAATTTGTAACAATGAAAAGACATCCTGCATAGCAGATATTTACATGACGATTCATCACAGTAGCAAAATGACAGTGATGAGGTAGCAACAAAAATAACTTTATGGTTGGGGGTCACCACAACATGAGGAACTGTATGAAAGGGTCGCGGCATTAGGAAGGTTGAGAACCACTGCTCTAGGACATCTTGTCTCTGACCCCAAAGGATATGGCACATCCCATTTGGAAAATAAAATCAATAAAAAATAAATTTTTTTTTAAAGTTGACCGGTTTGCCTCAGTGGATAGAGCATCGGCCTGCGGACTGAAGGGTCCCAGGTTCGATTCCAGTCAAGGGCATGTACCTTGGTTGCGGGCACATCCCCAGTAGGGGGTGTGCAGGAGGCAGCTGATCGATGTTTCTCTCTCATCGATGTTTCTAACTCTCTATCCCTCTCCCTTCCTCTC